GCGAAGTCATGTCCGACCCATCGCGACCCCCTGGACAACGTTCCTCCAGGCCTTTCTGGCCTCTACCATCTTCTGGAGTCCATTTAAGTTCACGCCTACTGCTTCAGTGACTCCATCCAGCTACCTTATTCTCTGTCGTCCCCTTTTTCTATTGCCCTCAATCTTTCCCAGCAATAGGCTCTTCTCCAGTGAGTCCTTCCTGCTCATTGAGTCCTTCCTTCTCATTGAGTCCCCAAAGAGAAAAGTGACACCAAATGCAAATAAGGATAAATCACAATTGTTTAATGGTTTATATTTTATGTTTTATCAGCCATCATGAATGCCCTGAGGGCAAACAGACAGGATATAGGTGAAAAAAAAAATCCTTCTAATCTGCTTGGTACCCAAATTTATGTCCTCTCAAGATCTGAAGAAAGCTGGTGTCCAAAATATCTCCTAACAACCTTCATTTGCATTCAAGAAAATGATGACTATAATACTTTCATTAGGAGTGATGGAAGAGGCAGGCAGAAATTCCCAATCCCTTTCAAAATGGAACCGTCATCCTTTGCCATTGCTGCTACTGCTGACCAAAGAAGAAGATAACAGAATCGGGGTGGGGTGGGGTGGAGAGAGAGATCGTTCTTATCATAATTTTGAATTCAGCAGGGACTTAGCACAAGGAAGGGCAAGAAACAGGAAGATGAAAGAGGAGGTCTAAGAGCTGGTACCATTCCCCTGCAAGGACATGGGCCTGGCAAGTGTGTTGTTGTTTCTATCTTATGGAGAAGCTAAGTGTCACCGTCTTTGAAAAGATGGGTGGGGAATGTTAACTTATCTGGCTCCTGCAGAGTTTAAAAGGCAAGCAGAGCTGTGGTTGGATCTGTGGTTTTTTCTGTATTTTTCATTTAGAGAAACAGGAGACCACTGCAATAAACCCGATAGGAAGTGGCCTCCTTTGCTTATCAGTTTGGCAGTGGGGAGAGGGGGAAGAAGAGCACTGGAAGATAGGGGGGATTTTCCCCATCTGCAGGTACCATATTCTAAGCCTCAGAGGGCTGGGGAGGGCCACAGATTGCCCCTCTTTTCCTGTTAGGAGATGACTGCTGTGCCCATGCCAGGATTACTTAAGTATGTATTTTAAAAGAATCAAATCTGATTGGGGAATGTGTAATTCTGTACCAGGCTGAATGCTCCACATTAAGCGGAGCGATACATGTTTGTTTGCCATCTATTCGATGGAGCAATTTGGTGGCCATTGACAGCAGTTCCTTCCTTTCATCTGTCTTTCAGTCAATGTCGAAATTCACAAGTTCTTCCTCTATTTTTCCAAAGCCTCTCTGCAAAACTTCTAAAACAGTGTTTCTCAACCTTGATGACTTTTAAGACTTAAACTCCCCGATTTTCCCAGGGGTGGCTATGGAATTCTGGGAGTTGAAGTGCACACATCTTAAAGTTGCCAAGGCTGAGAAACACTGCTCTAAAGCTAGGTTATTAAATCACTCTTACTTGGAAAGTCATGTAGGCTTTGTCTCCTTGTATGTAAAAATGCAGACTGTTTTGATTTTGGCTCTGTGTTTCTAACAGTAGGGTTTGTTCTTAAAGAAGACATGCCGTCCTCTTTCACATACACCTCTTCCAAGAAGATGATCACAACCCTGCTGCATTTATAAACCCTTCTCATTGCAATAGTTTTAATTGGAAGTGGGTTGTTTTTTTTAAGGCAATTTAAGGCAGTAGATTGTTTTAAGTTGCTGTTCTCAAGATGCTGAATTTTAATCGCTCCACTGTCCTCCTTTGTGAGCAGGCAGGTTATAAACTTTCTTTTTTTTTTTTTTTTTCAATATAAAATTTTATTGTTTTTATCATAAAAAAAAAGAAATACATCACAGATATTACACAATGTTATATCCCATCCCCCCACCCCCCGGACTTCCCAAACCAAACCTAGGCTAATATTCAAATACAAGTAAACAAATATTAATGTCTCTAACTCCAAACTCTAAACTTAAACAATCCATCTCCTCCGTGTTAATAAAAATTATTCATTTAATTAGTTCTTCAAATACCCAAAATCTTTACCATTTCAGCAAGATAGTTTAACACCATCCCTTACTTATACAAAAAAAGAAAAGAAAAAAAATTCCCATCTTCCGTAAAGTTAACAAGTTAATTCTGTCATTTCGTGAAGCTACACCTATAAAAAATCATTTGGAACCCTTAATAAGGTTTACAACTTCAATTACTTAATTATCATTCAATTGTTTTCAATTATTACAACATTATTATATTTATAATAATCTTCCTTTTAATAAAAATTATTCATTTAATTAATTCTTCAGATACCCAAAATCTTTACCATTTCAGCAAGATAAAAAAAAAGAAAAAAATTCCCATCTTCCATAAAGTTAACAAGTAAATTCTGTCATTTCATCAAACTGCACCTATGAGAAATCATTTTGATCCCTTAATAAGGTTTACAACTTCAATTACTTAGTTATCATTCAATTGTTTAAACATTAACAATAAGTCCACCTCCTTCAACCATTATTAAATCAAAAAAAAAGGGAACCTTTAGGACCT